GAGCGGCCAGATTGCCAAAACAAGAGGTGTTATCACCAAGCTGATAGGAGCCATCTCCTCTCTTTCCCCGGAGTATTTATTAGTTCCTCTAATACACAAGCTCTCATCTGCTGTTGGTTTTCTCATAGGAGAGCTTCCTAGTTAGTTTCCTCCTCTCCTCACTGCACAGCCACCCACTAACAGCTTTGCAGTCATCGGAATGCTGGTAGACCTCCAGCATACAGCAAAGCTTTACGGAGCATCAGCAAGCAGCACATACTTTAATCCAACAGCACAGTGTTGAGGCTTGTATTTATTTTCTGGGATAATCATCGTCTTCAGAAGAGTTTCTTCCTTAACATCCTGCTTCTAAAAGTCCATCAGTCCATCCAAGCTTGTTTTCCACCAAGAATGATGGCTCTGAGCTCTGTTCTACTTACATATTTCATGTTATAGGGGTGATGTGCATGGCACTCACTCATTCTGACTCCTGCTTGTTAGCTGGGTATGTCAGCAAAAATGTCCATCTCCCCAAACAGGGTCTTAATACCTGCTGTGAGGGTCAGGCAGCAGAAAGCCTCTGCTTCTCTAAGCCTTTTCTATCTACCACAGAGCTGCTTTAATCTCCCCCTCCTTGCCCTTTGCACAATGCAATAGAGTGGAGAGGAAGCAGCCCTGTGAATCGAAAGCTCTCCTACCCTTTCTTTCCCACACAAACTAACTCCCTGCCTTTGCCTGCTTCTGCTCCAGCCCCCTTCTGAGCGTGCTCTCATTAAGACCCCAGAGGGAGGAGGTGATGCTCTGAAATTGTCTTAATTGCTCTTGTTTATGCTGGTTACGATGGCAATAAGTTGCCATGCAGAGGAGGCTTTCTTCAGATGTGCAGGCTCTTCATTGTTCTGCATTCTGAAGGATTGTCTGTAGGCAGCTCCAAGTCATTTACAACAATAGATTAAGATGAGGATCGGTAATACTCAGTGACTCACAGTCACACACACGCGAGACCCACCAATGGCTGCGACCTGCCACCAGATTTGAAGGAAGGTTAAACGGTGCTGGTGTGCTCTTGCAGGATGCTGACAAGGTAATGCTCTGCACAGTTTCTGCTATCCAAGAGCTCCCCAGGCATGAATGGAGAATGCAGTTTTGCTGGAGCAGGCAATGACACATTGGAGATGACACTGGGATATCCCAGTTGTGGGCTTGCTTCTTCTAAGAGTTAGGGGTTCAGCTGGGGCTGACTACATTGGAATTGAATACTTTGCTTTCCATTCTTATTTTTCTGAGTAGTCCCACGTGTTGGTTCAGTATCAGTGACACCTTAGAACCTTTGAACTAACATCCCTTGAACTAAAAAGTCTGTGTGCCACCTTTCATAGAATCAGAGAATCGTTAAGGTTGGAAAAGACCTCTAAGATCATCAAGTGCAGCCACCACACACCAACACCACACCCACTGTATCCCCTGTGTCCTTGGCTAGGGGATGTATGTGTCCTCCCACCATGTCCCCATAGACTCCATGCTCTTGACTCTAAAGTCTGTTATGGAGCTGTGTCAAGTTGCTGTAGATCCTCAACTCTGTACCCTGATTTTTGCCTACTTTCAGTGTTTGGATGTTGACAAGATCCAAAATTCTGGTGTCAATTAGTTGTGATGCTCCATGCTGCGGTACTGCAAGTACTCCAGACAAGGGGAGAAACACTTTCCAGCAGAATGTGGAAAATTGCCTTGCTCAGTCCACAAGTAGTATGCTTCATTGGGTCCAGTTAATTTTCTTCCCCATATAAAGCAGGGCAGTTTCTGCATAATTTTATGCATTACAAAAACACCAGATCTCAAGAGCCTGCCGGTGGGCCAAGCCCCAAGCGTGCTGCTGGGCAATTACTGAGTCTCTGCCTGCCTCAAGCTGAAAAAACCTGGGAGCAACAGCTCAAGACCTGACCCCTGATTAGATCTGTGTGCTCTTCCATATTCATAAAAACAGGAGTGTACTTATATGGGGTCAGCAAAGGGCTTTCTGATTTAGTATCCTGTCAGATGTAACCCAATGGCAAGTGCCCAGGAAGGACCAGGAAGACTCTTCTGCCATAAATATTCATTTCATTTGGAAGCATAGCTTATATAAATTGTTAGAATTCAATGTAATTAGTAACTCTCTGTGGATTTCTCTTTCACAAAGTTTCCCAGACTTCCCTAAGTTTATAGACGCTTGTGGCTTCTGCAGCATCCTGCAGCCAGGAGTCCTTCAGCTTAAGCACACATCTCCTTTCGTTAGAGCCTGAGATGTCTGTGTTTCCTGGAGGTTTGGAACCACCACCATCTTACCTAGCAGTGGTACACCTTCACTAAGGTGTTGAGTTAGCAACACATTTGGTGGCTAAGTGACAAAGCTCTGCCTTCACAGTCCGTTTGAGTCCACTGGCTGCTGTGAATCTACACTGCAGCGTGGTCACCAGGCTGGAAGGTGAACTGCAGGAGAACTTTGAGACCTTTGGATGAAGTCCTGCCAAACACCTGCATGAGGCACCAGCAGTGACCTGCAGAGCTGTCCCCATGGAGTCCCCATGTGTTGTCATCCACAATGGTGACACCTCCCAAACTTTGGAGCAGATGGGATTGTGGATCCAGAAGAGGGCAATGGTGACACATCCTCACCGATGCTCTGAGCACCAAATGAGCTGAGGACAACCATGGTGGGAATACAGCCAAGTAGCCAAACCACCTTGGCTAGCAAAACTGTGTGTTCCTGGCTGTTTTGTGGCAACCAGATTGAAGTGGGAGGCAGCTTTCAGCTACTGTCTCAGGTCAGATGGGACTGTCAGTCAATTGTTAATTATGACTCTTCTTCTTACTAATTTCTGTAACTTCTATCACCATGGTAGCTAACTGCTGTAGAAAGATTCAGCCAGAAAAAGGAGAAGACAACCAAAGTTTTCATAGCGAGGGAACAGGAACTAGCTGCAGAGGAGGAGGGGTGGAGGGAGAGATCTGTGAATTGTTTTCTAGGAGTCTGAGCCGTGCCTTGAAAGCTGGGCAGGTTTGGTTTATATGGTCCTACCAAGGGGAGGGCAAGCTGTGTTCCGACTGCTGTGCAGTTTGTTCTCAGCTCCTCTGGCCCCAACAGGTGATGGATGTACTGTGACTTTTCATTTCACAGGATGCTTGGCACGAGGATTTTTCTCAGTCTACGCCAATTACTAGGAAACTGCCTTATTATCCCATGTTCTCTACCCTGACCTGGTCAGTCAATCAGTTTTAATCTCTGGTGATAGCTGCGTGCCTGTACAGGGAGAGAAAAGGAAAAATTTGACAGCACTTTAAACCTGATTAATTTTTAAACTTCCTCCCTTTCTGCTGATTGCATGGCTTTTGCCCTGATGCTGGACACGTTCTTTCCTCCATGTGTCACTTTCAGAGGAGCACTGTGGAAATGAAATGCCATCACTTGGCGGAGCTAGATGGAAAGTCCAATGCTGTGACCATACAGGACCTTTTTCTGTCACTGCAGTGGGTCCATGGGAATATTATAACACAGTGCAAGAGTACATCCATAACATGGGCATGGCAGCTTGCTGGGGAACGTCAAGGCAACAGCCATTTTCTTGTTGTTTTGCAGCTACACAATGCTATTCTTGCCCAAATGACTCTATCTGGCCTGCTCAGCAACGTTCATTTCTGATGAAGCTTTCCAGCCTGTAGGTATCTCCTTTCACACCTGTCTTACCATTTCCATTTAGAAGGATTTAATTTAGAAACCCATTGTACCCAGTCCTGCACAGCCCGAGCCAATTTATTTTGCATAATGCTTCAGCACCATGTACTTTAAGGAAACAGGCTGTCACAACTGTGTGCTGGAGGGAGGGCTGAGCTCTTGCTTCAGGCACTGATTTAAGATCCAGGAGGAGCAGACCCTGCTCTGACAGTGCCCGCAGATTTCACGAGCCTTTTGTCAAATCAGGTTGCCAGTGTTTGTAGTTTGGAAAATAATCAACACAGTGACTGTTCTCTACCTCTGGTTTAAGGGAGGGTGAATACAGAACCTAGAATGCACTGAAGTCCTTGTGCTATGTACTGCAGAAACAACAGAATGCTGATCCCTGGAACAGGGAGCTTTGGTGGTCAGTGCAAGAGGTGCAAGCCTGTTGAGAAGCAGCACATAAATGAACAAAAGAAGTAATGAAATGAGGCAGAGCCAAATACAAAGAGACCCCAGGCACTGCCCACTGGATGATGCTGGCATTTCTATCAGCATCATGCTGGGGAGGGATGGGAGGGAGGGAGCAGAGCACCCCGTGGGCACCTGCAGGAGAACACCCGTGGGTGCTGTCCCCACCGAGCCCGGGGGACAGAGGAGCCGTGATATGCCGGAGGGAGGCGCAGCCACCCCCTGAGAGAGCGCAGCTGGCAGCATTTGATCTTCTCATTCACTCGCCTGTTCTGTTTGTTCTCCAAATGTCTCCGAGCTGTGCCTTGCACATGGCTGTTCCTTCCTTCTCTTTGTCACTGCCACAGCAACATGTGAGCGGGAGAAGAGTTTCTTCTACCCCAAATGGGTGACTTTGCATTGCACAGAGGAGGGGACCCAAACAGCAGCAGTGCTGCCCCTCCGCAGACCTGGAGCAGCTCTGGTGCTCCTCGTGCACACAGAGCACATTTGCAGCACCCACCTATCCTGCAGAGTGCTCACCACCCTCAACCCTTCCCCATGAAACAGGAGCAGAGAAGCTCAGCAACTCCTGCTTTCTAATTCCAGTGCTGCCACACTCACTGACGTCCTCACTAATCCTGCAGCAGCAGGCTGCTCATCAAAACTCTTCGCTTGCCACTTTGGCATCATTCTGGGAAGCCAGCAGAGCACAGAGATGCTCGATTCCTCCCCCTCCACGCACCTTCCATTGTCTTCAGGACTGACAGCTCTGATGGGGAGCGGTGATAAAAGCCAGCTGATGCTGTCAGGGCCTGGTACAATTGCACCGCAGGGAAAAAGGCGACTGGCTCTGAATCATCATAGCCACCTGAAGATGCCTGGCACACATGCTGCCTGCCAGCACGGCTCAGCACAAAGCAACACACCTTGGGTGGCTTCTGGCAGGGGTTGACTACAGATCTTTGGAAGGGTGATGACCAAATGGTGGCCCAGTGGCTGGCCAACCTCAAGGTGGTAGAAAAAAAAAAAATTGAGAAAATTACAACAACAAACTAATTTGCAGACCTCTGCCAAAGTTTTTATCAGCACAGGCTGCCCAGGGAGGTGGTGGGGTCACCGTCCCTGAAAGTGTTCAAGAAACGTGGAGATGTGGCACTGTTGCCATGGTGGGACAGGTTGAGGTTGGACTTGGTGGTCTGAGAGGTCTCATCCAACCTAAAGGATTCTGTAATTCTAAAGCCTGGACTGAACTTTTCAGGGCAGGGGATGCAGACTTGAGATGCTCCAGGAGCGCCAAGCAGAGAAGGAGATTCCAATGGGGGAAGCTGATCTATGATGTGAGATTCTGGGTGACATTGAGGAAACAACAGAATGCTGCCCATCCTGGCCAGGTCAGCAGCCAAAGTTTCCATTACTGGATGTAGGAACTCAGGGGTCATTTCTGTTTCATTTTTGAAACTTTTTCCCAAACATCACATTGAATGAGAGGATGAGTTCCTTCTATAAATAGGATCACCCCTGTCACAGCTGGTTAAGTCATACCCTGTGTCAGGCCCATAAAAAAAGGTGCCTCTCACATGCACTGTTTACAGGACACAGGAGATATGCAGGCAAGTTCAGCAGATCACTGTTTAAGCAGTTGGAGTTGAGACACAGCTATTTCCAACACAGTGAGCCCAGCTCCCAGTCTGGGCTGAGTTAGAAGCCCTATACTTTCTATTGACTCGATTTCCCCTGGAGGGAGCTGCAGTTACCTTGTGCTTCAGAGCAGTCCCATTCTTCAGCTCTGCAAGAAGCAGCAGTTTCAGTGGATCCATCACGAAATGGCTTTGCTGTGCTGGAAGTCAAATAGCACAAGACAGAGGCCTGGAACACAAAGAAAAGCAACTCTACAGCTAGGGAGTGTGTGGGTCCCCTACACCAGCTGCAGGAACATCTGGATGGAGCTGGCCTGGCTTGCAGAATCACTGGGGTAATGCAGCATGGGTGGCCCCATAGCAGAGCCCTGGGGCAGCAGGAGGTGGTGGTGATGCTCTCTCCCCTTTCCTTCTCACCCCTGGGAGTTTATTCCCATCTCATCTCCAAATTTGGTGCGGCTCTGGGACTGAGAGCTGTGAGGAACCTGTTCTGCTGAAGTGATGCAAGTATTAAAAATGTATATATATTAAATAAGATCATTTGTGTAATCTGATTTCCCCACAGATCCACAAGCAATTGCATCAGCACAGCTGAGGGGGTGGGAAACTAAAGAGGGGGCAGAAAGGAACAAAAACTTTGCAAGTCAGCTCTATCAGAGAGAATTTCCTGGGGCTCTGCTGAGACCCAGACACACTCAGCCCTTCTGACCAGGAGAGCCTTTGGTTCTCATGCACCTCTCTGAGCCAGGATGTGGACAAGTGGAGAGAAGATTTATTTCAAGCCGAACTGGGAGAAGTTTAGTGGAAATGGAATTGCTGCTTATTCTGGGATAGGCTAAGTATATTCCGTCCTTGGAAGGCAAACCCTTCCTGCTCTGTTCACGTAATAGACATCCTATGGCTTTATGCAGTAGAATGGTTCTCCTCCACCCTCTCCCAATCACCTGTACCACTGCCCCAAGCCCAGGGGCTGATGGAGCACTTTGGGTTCCCTGGAGATGGAAACCTTTCCATAAGAGCAGGGTAGAGTTACTCTCTTTCCAGGTTGTTTGGGTTCAAACAAAAGCCTGTTGCCTAATGGGAGATAAGTGAGTATAATGGATGTCCCATCCCTGGAGGCATTTAAGGCCAGGCTGGATGTGGCTCTGGGCAGCCTGGTCTGGTGGTTGGCAACTCTGCACATAGCAGGGGGGTCAAAACTAGATGATCATTGTGGTCTTTTTCAACCCAGGCCATTCTATGATAATGCAGCCAGTCAATAACTTCATGCACGGAGCCCTTTGGATTACTGATTTCCAAAAGAGTATCCCCCACAAACCCTGCACCACACTGACTCAGCTCTCAGCCTTTTGACTTTGTTCTTCCTTCCTCACACAGTGTCTTGTACTTTTAGTTCTCCCCCCTTATTCATTTTTTTTCCCCCCAGAAAGGTTTTCAGCTTGTCAAATGATGCTCTCCCTGTCTCTTTGCCTCTTGGAGTGGGAGGAAAGATAATAATAAATGAAGCCATTTTCAAATAAAAAGGCCCCACATATTACCTGGGAGCTGTCTTCCAGCATCCAAATACCAAATGGGGCAGCAACCTCTCTGTTGGTACCCACCAGGCACTGCATGTGTGGCAATCCTGGGGCAAGCAGGACAAGCTAGGCCTTGTAAAATAGGATTTTGTAACATAGGGTTTCCTTTACACCTCACAGCTAAACACATCCCTCTCTTTCCTTTCCTTCTGATGGGGGAAATTTCTGCTCCTGCTGCAGTTCCCAGAGTGGAGGAACAGTTCTGGGGATCTGTGCTACTGCCCCATCACTCCTCATCTCAGCATCCTTTGATTGTGCTTAGCATCCTGGTGCAAGGTGGGGGAGCAGGGGCTGAAGGAAATGATGAGGCTATCAGACTCCGCTCAGCTTCACCTCTCTTCAGAACCAATCCATTCTGGCTGCCTTTTTATGGCCATAGAGGGGTAAAATTGCAGAAGCCCCAAGCCAATTCCTGTAAGAGGACTGTGAGGGCTCCCCTGGGCCAATAGATGGATGCAGGCAGGAGATGATGGCCAACTCTGCCTTGCTCATCCCAGCTCTCTCTGTTCCCTCCAGCTTCTGCACAAAGCTCATTTGACTTTTATGAGGGCTGGAGAGACCAAGCAAACAAAGCCTGAGGGTTTAGTCAGAGCCAGCGGGTACAGCACGTGCCTGTGCCTTTCTCCCCTCCTTTATTCCCACTGACAGCTCCAACACGTGGCGCTGCTCAGCTCTGGAACCTCTCTGAGCCTATTGAGAGGGGCAGGAGAATTTCTTAGCATCTCAGGTGGGGCTCCATTCTTCCAGCTCCAGGACACTTTGATACCCTCTGAGCTTTAGAGAAGGCACAGAAAAAAAAAGGAAAATATGCTGGAAGTGCCTTGAAGCATGAGGATGCTCTATGGAGTAGAAAATCAATCTGTGAAACAAAAAGCTTTCCAGGTAGAAAGAGCATGGTGTTTCCAATCCTTGCATTACAGCCAGACCTCTTATTTCCAATCCAACAGTGATGGAGTCACAGTTCAAGTTGTGGTCCCAGAGCTTCAGCCTTGCCTGAAGGCTCTGCCTAAGAGGTGGGGCTGGGGACAGTGCTTGGAGCCAAAGTAGAAGAGCTCCTGTCCCCACACACTGCTGGGTAGTGCTGACTGTTACTGCTGTGCCCGTGCTCCAGGACAGGGAACGAAGAGTTGCTCATCCATTCATTACAGAAGTTTTGGGAATCTTTGTAAGTGAGCCAAGAACATGAGAAACAGAAATTCCTCCCACTCCAGGCCTCGCCTGACATTACACAGAACCTTTATTCTTGGCTCCTTCCTCCCTCCTAAAGCCTCACAGAAGTTCTTCCAACAACACACCACCCTGTTCAGCCCCTTCCACTGATGAGCAGCCATCCATTAATTCACCACTAATTAGGCCATCTCCAGAGGCTCTCCTTCCCCAGGTGATAGCCATACCACTTCAGCACTGTAATGGGATGCTAACAGCAAGGCAGCAAAGTCTTCAGCTACAGCAAATGAGGACAAGCTCAAATGCAACAGCCACACATACAGAAATAAAGAAAAAAAAAAAAAAATAGGTGCTTACCTTTAGAATATCTCAGAAAGGCAGAGATCTCCAGCAAGTGATACTCTCACCTCCACTACCAAACCTTTAATGAGCCACTCAGATGCATTGCACACACCTGAGCTCCCCTGGGTTGGCCCTGCCTTTCCACCAGGTGCTCAATCACTGCTTCAGGCCCTGACTTAGCACTGCCACTACAATCACCAGCAAAGATTGAGACTCCAGCTATGTGGAAATGTATGGGTATATACACTGGCCCTCACAGCACTTCTTTTTCAGCTGGCTTTGCAGTGCTTCTGCTTCAGGCTAACAAATGCATTGCTCAGGGTCAGCTCCATCCTTATTGCTGGGAGACCTGTGCTGACAGAGAGGAACCTGACCATTGTAGCTTTGGTTTTCTTGCTTCCGTTGGGGGATGCGCAGTATCCTGGGGCCAGGTCAGGTGTGAGGGATGAGAAATAAAGAAGAGATCAACTGCGTGTGTCGTAACAGAGGCTCTTCAATAAAATAAATATTTTCTAAAGGAAAAATAAAGTAGCAGGAACTACTGGAAGAAAGAGTGTTTCCAGTGCTTGAAGGGAAATCTGAAGAAAGAACGATCCTTTTCAAGTGTATAACGGTGTGGGGAGGAACACAGCCCTGCTGCTTTGATCAGAGCAGGTGGCTGTGCTGGGAGGGCTGGAGGGCTCTCCCAGGGAGGAGAAGGATGTGGCAGTGCTACAGAGGTTCCTTTGATGTGTTCTGGCCCTACAGCAAAGGACACGGTCCTGCCACCTGCACAGCAGGAACCGGCAGCAGGGGCTGCAGCCAGGCACACACCTCTGCCCTGTGCTCAGCAGCAGTGCTGCGAGGCCATGCTCTGGGTCCTGCCCATCTGAGCCTGGAGTTTCCTTGCAGCTTTTCTCTGTGGTTTCTCCTGTTAGTTTGCTCTGACACACGTCCACTGCTTTGCACTGGAAAGCATCGTGATATGACTCCTCTCTGCCTGTTCCTGAACATATCCCTGTGCTTTGCTTTTGCATTGCTCGAGCTGCAGTTTGCAGATGGTTTATGATGTTCTCTCAGTGCTGCTTCTCTCTAGGCTAAAAGTGGGCTGCAGTGATGGATCAAGGTGCAGGAGATCATGGCTTGGTCAGGACTGCAAGGCTGTGTGATGGTCTTGCAAGGGAAATGATGAAAGTATGGAAAATGGGAATACTCCAACCCAGGGTTGGGGGCAGGAAGGGAAACGTTGGTTATGCTGTTCTTTGGCACCTCTTTTTGCTCTTGTCCCCTCCAGCTTTCAGTAGAGAAGCTGGTATAAATGGGGCTGCATGCGCTTCCACCTCCTGAGAAGATCAGTGGGATGTGATGCTGCACCTTGAGTCCCCAGAATCCTTTCACAGGGTGTAGGAAACTGTGGCCAGCTAATTCCCAGTTCCCTAAGGCAGATGCTGAACAGATGCTCCTGCAGTGGTTTACTCAAACCCCAGGAGCGAGCTGCAGGCCGTGCCCAGAGCCCAGGGATGCAGCTAGGCGGTGTGTGTGGTTCTGCTCAGGCAATACAAAAGGAAAGGATGGGGGGGCTGCAAATTAATTACCGCTAACGATGCCACCTTCCTGCCGAGCACAGCAATCTCAGCAGAGGGCACAAGGCTCGGTGTCAGTGAGTGCCCAAGCTGTACGGATGCCTTCTGGCAGCCCTGTGCTGCCCATGGCCCATCTGTTCACAGCGGGGCCATCAGGCAGCGCCGGATGGAGGCACGCTTTGACTCACGGGGCAGAGAGTCCATCATTCCCAGTCACCTCGTTAATTGACACAGTGAAAGAAGCCACATCTCCTGCCTGATTCTGACCAGCTCTGTAATTGAATTCAGCTCGACATCTCTGTTCCAGCCCCCCGGGGACCCACCGATTAATGACGGATTTTTTTTCTCGCCTTGGGAATTTCTAGTTGCTCCCATTCTTTTTATTTAATGGGATCTATTGAGAGAACAGATAGTAGTAAACATCCCACCCCCATTTCCTACCTTTCCCAAAGGTGCATTGTGAAGAAAAATGCTTAGGCAGTAAGAGAAGGGCAGGTGAATGTCAGGGACTGAAACCTGCACAGCTTTCCTGTCTTTTGTTCCGTCATCCTTCCCCTCGCTCCTCTCAAGACTTCGGTCTCTCCTTGCAGAACTGCTTGCATGCACTTTGCTCAGGATCTAATGAGACTGCGAGGGCTGAATTGGATCCTTCATTTTCCCCTCGGAGTGCAATGTCTCTTTAACCTTTCTCCCTTGGCATCCGTCTCTCCCAGCAACCTATTTGCAATCCCTGTTGCTGCAAAGAAATCCCAGCTCTGACTGAGTTTAAAATGGGGGTTGCTGGGGACTTGGGCACACAATTCGGGGTTGGCTTAGCCAGCTCCCTCCATCCCTGGCAACATGTTGAGGTTTTTCTCTGCTCCTTGAAAAGGAAAAGCAATTTGCATGTCAAAGAGTGGGAAAGGGCAGGGGACGGCAGCTCTCCAACCACTTTTCCCCTTACTCCCTGCTTCCCCCATGCTTTCCGTTTGGCGTTCCTCTGCGGCTAACGAATTATCGCCGCATTAAAGCATCCAGTCACCGTGGGAGAGATCCTGGGGTTTCATCCCCGTTAGCTTCACCCGTCCTGCGGCGTGCAGAGCTGCCCACGCAGAGCTGTTCGGTGCCAGCCCACCCTTCTCCTCCGCACGCTGTGACGCTCGAGGCTGCGCGGGGAGGCGGTGAGGGGACGGCGTGGGGAGAACGTGTCTGAAGCTCTGACTGCTTCAGCGTGCAGGGATGGGTGGGCTGGGCTTGGGGTTACCCAGCGGAGGGCACAGCGGCTCCACTCTCTCCTTGGAGACAAGGGCCACTGACCTCATCTGTGTCCCGGTGGTGGCCAGGCTGAGTGGGCATTGAGCAGCTTGAGCTCTTGGGGGACACCCACCCACCCCATGGTTGATAATGGATGACCTTTGAGGTCCCTTCCAACCCAACTGTTCTATGAGGCATACATGGGAAAAGTTGCTCAGGTATTCTGGGTCTGCTGTAGGTGATGCCTTCCTGTGTGGTTGAAGGCAGAATGTTTTTCTCTCCTCCACTTTACTCTGATTCTTTCCCAGTTTCGAGGAGTACTTTTTTTCTGTGTGCTTTTTCTTCACATGTGGCTGCACAATCTGCGTTTCTCCTTTGGGGAACCATTCACCACCCACATCTCCTGGAGCAGGAGAGCCAGAAATACACTCCTGTGCAAGTGTACAAACATTGGGATCACAGAATCATAGGGATTGGAAGCGATGTTGTTTCCAGCCCTGAGAGGCAACACCTGCACAGAATGCTGGGTTTGATTATACCAGGATCTCATAGCATGGCATAACTCAGTGATGTCTCAAAAACATCTGCACATGCCACAGCTGGCAAGAGCAATAATTCACCATTCATGTGCTAAGGCCCTTTTCAGCTGGCCAGGACTGCTCTGGTGGCTGGGACAATTGTACCTACTGCCTGTGTCTGCATTTATCAGCACTGAGGAGAAGGGAATGCTTTCTACTTGCACTGGGGAGGTATGTGTGTCTGTTTTCTGTTCATGGTGTCTTGCTTTCCCAGGCAGAGAGCAGAGAACTATCTGCAGGTCTCAGTTCAGAGCAGTGGGAGTTGTTCTCATGCCTCGTTTCCTTTGTGGACAGAAAAGTTATCAGGAGGCTGCACCTGCCTCCAGCTGAGGAGAAAACATGCTTCTGGAGGGGCAGTGGTGATGGTGCCTGATCAGAGCTCTGGGCTCAGCGTAGTGTAGAGGGACAGAAGGACACTGTAATCTCATGGGCAGGATGAATGGAAAATCATTGTCATCAGCAGCAGAATGAAAGTCATCACCCTGATGGTCTGTAATACTGAGCCATTGGTGCAAGCATTGAAAATGTGAGCAACTTCAGGCCATCAGGGATATGTCCCCAGCCCACAGGGCAGCTCTCCGGCTGCTCACAAGTAAGGAGCACCCAGCTGCCCTCATCTCCCTTCCTGCTGCTTTGGAACCTGGCTAGGGCTCTGCTCCTAGGGAGAGTCCATTCTGCTCTACCACATCCCGAGAGCCCTGGGGGCTCAAAGGAGATGTCCATGGATCAAAGCTGTGTGGCCTGAAGGAAGGGAGGCAAATCCATCTGGGCTGGGGGTGATCCTGTTAGCGTGGTGCATTAGTGGGGAAATCGAGTTAAAGGGTTGGATGAGGGATGCTGAGGAGTCAGTGGAGACTTCCAGTCTGCCTAATGGGCACTGTCCCCTGGGTTTTCTGCCCTCTCGTGAAGGCAGGACGTGCTGTTTTTAGACCATGCATTAACTCAACGCTAAGTGGCTTCCTAGAAGCAGGTGGGGATGAAGAAGCCAGGAGCTGGAAGAAAGCACTGAAGCGTAAGTCTGATGCTGGATCTGAGCTCCTCTCTGCTCCATCTCTGAGCATGATGAAGAGCCTGCATGCTCCAGCTGTGGCTGCGACGTGGTGCTGACACAACAGCCCCAGACCTTTCCTAGGACTGCCATGCCCTTGGAGGCACCTTCCTGCATGAGGAATTGGGCAGCAGCAGCACCAAGCTCCCCCCGGCACAGGGCCCCTTACCTTTGCGTAATGAGGTTAAATCACTGCCTCATTACAGCCCTCAAATTAAGTCACCACCTTGCTGGATCAATACTGTTTTCCATGATGCACTCGTGACACTGAGCCCGGGAGATGGATTGATGCTGGGAGGCTGAAGTGCTGCAGGGCAGCTCCAGTTAGACCCTGGGTTTGTTACTGGGGGAAAAATAGCAAATTTCCATGGAGGGGAGAGGCGGGAGGTTGGTGGAGTGGGGTGATGCTGTTAGGTGGGGTGGTCCTGCATGCCCATATTTCCCAGGCTCGGGGCTTGCATTAGGGCTACAACAGGAACATAAGATGGTCCTTATCTCCAAGGAAGTCACAGCAGCAGTGATCTCAAGCAGTGTCTGAGCTGGCAGCTTGACCAAAGGGGCCCTCCATTTGCTGTGACACCTCTACAAAGCCATTAACTGATGCCCACCAGGTTTGTTGTGGTTCAGCTGGGTGCTGGAGCTGGGC